GCGGCGCAGGAGGGGCCGCCCGCCGCGGGACCCACCCGTGTTCCCCGACGTGGGCTCGATGATGGTGTCCCCCGGCTTCAGGGTCCCGGCGCGTTCGGCGTCCTCGATCATGCGCAGGCTGATTCGATCCTTGACGCTCCCGCCCGCGTTGAAGAACTCGCACTTGGCCACTGGGAGCGCCGGGTCAGAGAGGTGGGGCCGGGCAGCCCCCCTCGGCTGACCCGGGTGTGGCTGCGCAGGGCTGCCTGGAGCCTCTGCCCAGCTGACGCACCCGCTGGCCCCCGCCCGGCCATCCTGGCCTGAGGCCCTCCCGCGCCCCCAGGAGGCCCTACTCACAGAGTTCACACTTGAGCCCAAAGTTCTTCCCGATCTTGTTGATCCTCACCATGGGGGTGTCCCCAATTTTCTTCAGGATATCTGGCAAGATCTTGGGGGGGCTGGTCCTGGGGCGGGGAGTCACAGTCACCCAGAAAGCACGGGTCAAGGAAACCAGGGCAGGCTGGTGGGCAGAGCTGGGCGCCTGCGGATCCATGCGGCCGGGCCCAGGCCGGGCAGGTGGATCCTGCTGCAGGCGGTTCCTGTTCGCATGGCACCGGCCGCCTGCCCAGGGCCGCCTGCCAGGGTGGCCCGGGGCCCAGCAGCGACCCTGCGCCCAGTACACCCTGGTGTCGCCCAGAGAACAGAGCTGCTTGGTCACTCTGCCCTTGGGCTCAGGCTAGGGCAGACCGGCCCTCAGGAGGTCTCCAGGCCCCGGAGCGTCCAGATTGAGGACCCCGCCGTCCGGTGCTGGCCGCCTCTCCGCAGCCCTCCCACCCTCACAAGGGCGCCGTCCTCCACGTGCGACCCGGACTCGGGGCCACCCCCACCCTCCCGAGCCTTGTCCTCAAAGGTCTCGGCCCGTTCCCCCACCTGCTGGGCACAGAGTTGGGGTGCCGGGACCCAAGAGCTGGGGACCGCCACCGCAGCCCTGCCCACGGGGCAGGGGACCATCCAGGGCAGCAGGGACTCCTGCCTGCCGCTGGGGTGTGGACAGGGCAGGAAGCAGACCCCCAGCCGCCCTCGTGCGGGCTTGCGAAGGTGGGGCTGCGGGAGAACGGGCTGCGGGCAAAGGGCTGCGACCGGCCTTGGAGGGAGGCCAGGCCCCCAACGTGGGTTGACTCATTAACTAGTTAAAGCCAAAGCTGGGCAGCGGGGAGAGGCCAGGGAGCGGACAACAGGGTCACCCCAAGGCTCTGGGGGTCAGTGGAGAAGCAAGGTCCACTGCTGGGCAAGGAGTGGGGCAGGCAGCAAACTCGGGGCTCCTGACTCCATGCCAGGCTCGGGGAGTTGGGGGGCGGCTGTCCAAGGTGACCAGGGCAGGAGTCCAGGGCCGGTCTCAGCGAGGACCCTGGATGACCTCTGGACTGCCAGCTCCCGAGGCCACCCCCTCTGGGACCCCAAACCACCCAGCCTGTGTGTCTGGGGGTCAATGGGCAGCACTCCAAGTTCCGGGGGGGCCGCAGCCCCCAGGAGCCTCAAAGGGGCTATGGGCCATGCAGGGGACACAGGCGGGAGGGGTGCTGTGACAGGGGGGCTGGTCAGACCACCCCACCTGGCCCCCAGAGCCCCGGTGTCTCCGTCCTGCCGGGGCAGCCTGGCCCAGGCCCTCCACCCACTGCCCCGGTTTGTCTTGGCAGCGAGGCCATCCGGCTGGCCAGCGGCCTCCCGGTCCAGGGCGCCGGGTGCAGCCTCGCCTATCTCGGCCTGGCGTGGGCACCGCCCCCACCCTCAGCCCCCAGTGCTGCGCCTGGGGATAGCCCCACGCCGCCTTCTGCCCCACGGGACGCAGAGCTGACCGCAGGCGGCCATGCTGTGCGAGGCCGCAGTGCTGGGGTCTCCCCGGCCAGACCGGCACCTGCCCAGCAGCACACCAGTTTGGGGTGTCCCCGGGGGCTGTCCCCAGGCGAGCCCAGGGTCGGACAGGCCCCAGGCCCCGAAGTGCCCATGACCCCGCATCCGCAGGAGCAACAGGACCCCAGACCGGCTGTGCCCAGACACGCCGGCCAGAAGCCTCGCCCGGCCTTGCATGCGCACCAGCACTGCCGTCCAGCCAGCTGTCCACCCTGGCCCACCTGGCCTCCGCAGCCTGGGCGGCTCTTCTGTAAAAGCCCCCGGCTCACCGCCCCTCCTTGCAGAGTGACCACAGCAGCGAGGGCCCCGGGGTCCGCAGGCCTGTGTGGCCCCAGCGACCCCACCAGGGACGGGCAGCGACTTACAGGCTGGTGTGGTGGTGCGGCGAGTCGGAGGGGGGCCGGCCCAGCCTCCAGGAGCACCTGCTGGGGGTGTCGGGCCGTATCCACTGACGCTCCTGCACAGCTTTGGCCCCCAGGGGCTGCGTCTCGGGGCTCCCGGTGTCTGGACGTGCCCCTGAGAGGTGGGGGCACCCTCCAGACCCCTGTTCCGGCTGGGGTTTCTCAGACGGCATGCTGGGTCCTGGGGGCAGGGGTGGTGGTCAGCGGGCCGCGGGGCTCGGCGCTTGCAAGGCGGGCAGCACGGGCCGCTGCGGGCGGCGCGGCGGCTCCGGAAGGTTAAATGTACAAGGCAGGGGCGGGGCTTGCACGCGTGGGGCGGAGCCAAGATCCCAGCGGAGCGGCACTCTCGGGGTGCAGGGGCGGGGCCTGGCGGCCCTGTGCCGGCCCGCGGGGGACAGCGGCTGCTCAGCAGGGCCGCTCTCGCAGCCCATTTGCGTGATGGGGATAAAAGCAGCGCGTGGACACGACGCGCTGTAGCCCCAGACCTGAGCAAGTTTTCCACGCCAGGCACCCCCACGGGGAGACAGGGCGGGGCCTGCCGGAGGGGCGGGGCCTGCCGGAGGGGCGGGGCCTGCCGGAGGGGCGGGGCGGTGTTGGAGCTGGGAGCATGTCCAGCTGCAGCGGCCAGAAAGGGCCTGTGAGACTTAACTGTGTGACCACCTGAGCCACGAGGGACAGACGCGACAAAACATACGGAGGGCAGGGGAGTGTGCCAGGGTCAGTGCCCCTGAGCTGCCCACCTGGACATTCCGGAGGCCCCCGCACCCCCAGAGGCCCCCGCACTCCCTGCAGGGAGCCAGGGTCAGTCGGGGGCCCCTACCTTCACCCCGTCGCGGCTGGTGACTCTGAGGCTCACGAGCCAGTGCAGCGAGTTTCGGGGTGGCACGAAGCAGGGGCCCATGGGAGCAGGCCAGCCGGAGCAGGCCGGCGGGACACGGAGCAACATGGGCTTCGGCCCTGTGGCAGGGTGGGGTGGCGCCTGTCCCCACACGGCAGCACGCCCAGGCCTGCCGCTCCCAGTCCTGGGGCCGGGGCCTGGTCCCAGGGGCGCTCCAGGGGCGGGGCGCCGCTCCCCACGGAGGCTAGGCCTCCCCACAGGCAGAGGAAGGCAGCCTGGGAAGGCCCGGGCTCGGCTCCTCCCAGAGCGCGGGGCCTGGCTGGTGGTGGCCGGGTCCTGCCCACCAGCCCGGCCTGGCCACGGCCGCCGCAGGGACCCCAGCCTCTGGCATCGCCCCAGCTGCCTGCTGGTGAGGCCTCAGGCCCCCAAAGTCGTTCCCATCCTGGGGTCACACTTCTGGTCTCACCAGCCCACACACCTCCCCAGGCCCCGGCTCTTCCTCTGGGACCCCCCCCCCCAGAAGGCCAGGCAGCCACCCTGCCACCTTGCAAAGTCCCCCTCACGGCTGGGGCGAGGGCGGCTGGGGCGAGGGCGGCTGGGGCGAGGGGACCCTAGCAAGGACTGGCCCCAGGGGAGCAGACCGCGGGCAGCCCCAGGGCCTGGAGCCTCCTTGGCCACCGGCCGGCTCCCAGCTCTAACCTCTGACCGCCTGAGGGACTGCTGGGAGCAGAGCACAGCTGGGAACGGGCCAGGGCCCCGCAGCCAAAGGAACCTGGCAGGTGGCCACTTGCGCCGACCCGGATCTGAACCCGCCGGCTCCGGCTGCCCCGCTCCGGCTGCCCCGCCCACTCGCGCTAGGCCAGCGACCAACGTGTGTCCCAGGGCGCGGGCTCCCCTGGGGCGGGCGCGGGCTCACCTGGGGCTCCCCTGGGGCGGGCGCGGGCTCACCTGGGGCTCACCTGGGGCGCGCGAGCTCACCTGGGGCGGGCGCGGGCTCCCGGACTCCCATACCCTGCACGCGCGTGCCCAGGGGCACCGGTTATGGCCGAGAGCACTCAAGGTAGCTCACGGGAAAAATGGGAGTTTTCGGGGGGGGGAAACCGAGCCCCTACAGTGCTCCAGAGACCTCAGGTCACGGCCAGCAGGAGCGAGATACTTGGGCCCAAGTTGGGACAGGTGCCCTAAGGGGCCGTTGGGAGGCGAAAAGTTCTGCGTCCCCGCCCCCCTCCCCTTCCCCCAGCCCCTCGCCAGTCGTCGGCCCCGGGGGCTGGGGGCGGGGGATCGCCAGGATCCACCGTCACCCTAATCCCACACAGCGGGCAGAAAAAAGCAACTTGCAAAATGGCTTTTTCTCACCCAAAATGCTGTGAAAAACCGATGGTCCACAACGCCAGGGCCCCTCCTAGCCGGCCCCAGGCCGACACCCCCACCTGGCCGCGGGGGCGGGCGCAGGGCC